TGCGTCCGTTTCTCTTCATACACGTGTGTGAAATTGATAGGTCTTAAGAACATCGTATAGTCACAGGATAAAAACAAAGATCTTTTTTTTTTTTTTTTTTCGCTTCTTTTATTTGTTTTTCCGGCGTACCCGAAAGAGAGTGAACTACCCCGCTCTCTCATTTAGGTCGCTTTAGGTCCCTCGACGATGAAGCGATTTTAAAGCGATTGGATTCGATCAGACACGATCTTGTTCTCGATCGCAAATATTATCGCTCGCTCGCGTGCGTCTGTTCCGTAATAATTCATTCGCACAACTATCGTATTTTTGTCTTCAGAGTTTATACTTTTTTTGTCTTTCTTCTATACATATATATATATCGCTAAATCACGCGCGCGGCGTCTTTCATACTCTGTTCGAATTTAAGCGTAATAATGGCAATGTCGCAGTAATTAATTTCGTAATCCGTGAAAGAATTGGTGCGACTTTATGCAGGTATTTCTTCCCCCCTCCCTCCTTTCGGCCCTTTCCCTCCCCCCAGAATGGATTTTCTTCGCTCCTTCTCATATATAACGCAACGTTAATATTAGAAAACAATTTACATTTTACACGCGCTTTTGCTTTTTTTTTTTTGTTTCTTTTTCACTCTCTTGTCCTTCTTCCTCAAGCTCTCTCTTCTCTCTCGGTAAGGCACCCCCAGTGCAAAGTATATATTCACGGAAGTATTAGAGTAGTACGAACTAGTGACTAGATCATCGTGTTAAGTCTCGCACAAGAGAGATTGGGAGAGCGACAAAGGGAAAGAGAAAGAGTCTCGAAAAGAGAGAAGAGGAAAAAAGGTAATTTCTCTTTTAGGGAGAAGAGAAAATGAGAGATAGAGAGGAAGAGATAAAGAGAGAAAGAAAGAGAGAGAGAGAGAGAGAGAGAGAGAGAGAGAGATCGGGTAATTAATAACATTATAATATCAAAAGAGAGGTAGAGAAAAAGAGAGAGAAAGAGTCGGTGAGGAAGAAGGAAGCAGAAACTTGAGCAGGAAGCAGTGAGGAGATGAAGGTAAGAAAGAAAATGAGAAACAGATGAGAGATGATCTTATCTACATTGAGGTTCAAATTTCTTCTCTTTCTCAAATCTTTTCTCTTTCTCTCTCTCTCCTTCTCTCTCTCTCTCTCTCTCTCTTTCTCTCCCTCAGGTCTTATCTCTTCTTCTCTTCTTTCTTTTTTCTTCTTGTATCCCTCTTCATGCGGCCGTCGTCGCGCTTCTTCCACATAAAACGGTGCGTTAAGGAACAAAAGGACTCGACAAACACGCATACACACGCACACACACGCACACGCACACACACACATACGCACACACGCACACGTGATAAGAGAGAGAAACACAAAGACGAGACGTAAGGTGATACGGTGAGAAGACGCAAGGGAGGCGAACACGTAACAACCTGACCTGCGCAATAGGAGGCAGTGGTGCGTTACTTTAGTAATTCTCATAATTGATGTTCTGTTCGTTTGCACGGATCAGCGCTGATCGGCGATCGACAGCGATGATCGGTTCGTTTCCTCAGAGAAGAAATCGGTCTCCTCGGAAAACGCGTTTAACAGAAAAGTCGTTCATATCGCGATGGGAACGGACCTGAGATTTGAGGAAAAATCTTGTTCCGTCCCTCCCCATCTTTCAATGACAATCTCTTTTTATATCACGCGGTACTCGTCGAAACTTAAACCTGTGAACGAACCCTCCGCTCTTTTTCTATCTCCCCGTACCCCCTCTGTCTCTTACACTCTTTCTCTCAGTCTCGGTCTCGTCTGCGAGCCCTCCGCTCTCTCTTCGACGAGCGACTGACGGCCACGGGGAAACGGCGAGCACGAAAGGGCGGCGAAGACGTTGTCGTCGTTGTCGTCGGCGTGCTCGTAACGGTAGTTGTAGTAGTAGTAGTAGTAGGCGTCGCTACTGACGACGCTGTCGCGTCGTCTCTAAACGGCAGTCTCGGTGTGACTGTGACTCGAGAGTCTCTCGACGTCAATCTCTGGTATAGTGAGCTCGTCCGGTATGTTGTCGGCGTACTCGATGCTGCTCGTCTGCGAGAGTCGCTTGCTCAGGGACGACTGCTTCCTCAGTACCTCCGCCAGGGTGGTGCTGCTGTGCTCGCCGTAGCGCGTGTCTAGGCCCTGCCGAAATGCGTTCACTACGCGGATCTGCAAATTGGAAAGCCGACACGGTCGGATCAGTCTGGTCGAGTGGCGCCGATCAGCATTTGCTGCGGCGGCGGCGACGGCTGCGAGATGATGACAGGCACACGCAACAGCAAAGTTGCAGGCTGCCGACACACGCACTCGAGATAGAGAGGAGACGTTCAGGCGAGACTCATAAACGCCGCGAGACACTGTGTACACACGTGTAAAACAGAGTGTCTTATCGAGCGTTATTCTCCTCTCGCTTTGGAATTGATTTTCGTTACAATTTTTATGATATTGTTAAAATAACGTTTTTTCAATATACTCACGTGGGATATTTTATTTTATTTTACTCGAGAATTTAACGTCGACTCGAGCTTTCGCAAAAACTTTATCAAGTTAGATATACGTACATAACGTCACACACGATATGTGTATAAGAAAAATCAATTCCAAGCAGGAGGAAGCTTTTATTGAAGAATAAACACGTGGGGTCTTGGGACACCTCATACAGATATTCATATGTATAGCAACGATAGGAAAATGGAATCGAAGGATGAATCGAATTCTTCTCGCGAAAAAGAACTTTCAAGTTTCATTTACAATCTTTCTCATCTCAGTTTAATCTGAGAAGTATATTAATTTTAATAGAAATATATATTTTAATTATTACGATTTTTTAATTATCCATTTTAATTTTTTTTTTTTTTTTTTTTTTTTTTTTTTTTTTTTTTTTTTTACGCTATTATACGATTCATCTAATTTCGCTTTCCATACCGCCGTTCAAGATATATATATAAATACGTAAAAACAAGACATAAAGCAGCGATGCCACAAGATATTACAGAACTAGCAGGGTTTTGGATTTCTCCCTGCGCGAAACAAGGCATTGCCAGAACACAAAGTTCGGAGCAGCTGCGTCGGTTTTGGCTGACGGGAAAAAGTGGATCGGGATGATTGCATGTGTGGATCTTTTATATATATATATATGTATGTACGTTATATATATATATATATATATACATATATATAACGTACGACTTTTCAGCATACTTACTTCGAGTGAATGAGACGGCGATCTTCACGATTCTCCGGTTATATTATGAAAGACACTGCGGATACTTAACATATTGAGGACAGGCCGTGCTTTCTTCATCGAACGCGAGATTAAACGCTTGCGTTCGTGTTTCGTGCGAGAATTATCGTTTTTTTTTTTTTTAATAATTTTATGTAAATGTTCTGAAAAATATTCCGAAGAGAAACGAAGAAGAGTGTGCAAAAGTATAAATGTAACACTCGTAATAAATCTCTTGTTACACAGAGAGTAATTAATTAAATCATAATATCTTCATTATATCGCATTTTCGCAAACAAACGTGGAGCAAAACAAAAGCACCTCCCCCCCCCCATCCGCAAAGTGTTAAGTCCACAAAATATTCATCACTCTCTTAGCGTAAGTTGTTTAGTTCATCAAACATGGAAATCCAAGTAGACATGCAACAGAGTGGGGACAGCAAAATTGATTTTGTCGAAGACAAAATCAATTTAACATTTTCGTCGTCGAATAGTTGGAAACTTGGAACACTCGGGTGTCGGTAAAAAATTTCGATTTAAAATTTTTCTTGAAGTAAAAAACAGAGATTATTATTATACATGCCTACTGTCGATCACCATTTTGGCGAACTCGTTCCAAATTAACGTCCGCTGATCGTTCCGCTTCTACTCGAGGTATGCTTGCAACTTGACGCGCAACACCGCATGCACCCATCGACAATATATTCGTCAGAGAGACAAAAAAAAAAAAAAAAAATACGAAAAAAAGGAGATATATTCACAATCGGACTCCTGGCGCATTCTATATATAGTTCACAGTTGTTGGCGATTTAACGAGAGAACGAAGCTGTCTTGGTAGAGTTTAGGATACAAAAAAAAAAAAAAAAAAATAAAATAAAATAAAAAACGATTGCGCCCTTTTGTTTGATGCGAGTATAGTATGCGAGTAAAGTATGCGAGAGCGCGATAGATCGCCAAGCCGAATCACGTTAACTCACACATGCGCGGTCAATGAGAGGTTTTACAGTTGGTCACGATGATGATCGAGGACATCACGCGTGCGATTCGCGTCCAACGACGAATCTCAACAGCATCTCCGGCGTGACTTCTTTTGAAGTTACATTCGTGTAAAAGCTTGTATAAAAAAAAAAAAAAAAAAACTCACACAACACAAATTAATCCACATAAAATAAAGCCCGAAAGATATTTGTAAAATATCACGTGCTCGTGTGACGTTTGCGAAATTATTACAACCTTCGTGATCAAAATTGATTATCACTTCAAAGAAGTCATTCACGCGCGAAGCTGTTAAACGACATCAAAGAATGCTGGACAAATCGCCGCGTGACATGATGCACACGGTCACAGAGTGCGTCTTCTGTTTCTCTCGTATAACTTTATAAGAGACTTAATTATTGAGAGTGAGGGAGAAAGAGAGAGAAAGAGAGAGAAAGAGGAAGATAAGAGAGAAACATGTAGAGACAGAGATATAAATAAAACACAAATAGAGAGACAATAAGAGACAGAAAAAGAGCGAGCGAGAGAAGAGTCTGGACTTCCACTTCAAAGCAATGTCGCACGAGGTGTAAGGAAAAGCTCCATTGTGTCAACTTCTTTCAGAGAAAAGCAATCGAAATCTCGGGAGTTAGCAAAATCCAATCTTTTAACGTTATTGTAAATTTATTGTCACATATCCAACTTATCGAAAATCAAAAGGGACATAAAATATCCGTATAGAAAAATTGTTTATTCGACAAACTTTACACCTTCGATTCTCAATCCGAATCGATTTGTCTCGTCTAACACAAATGTTACGGCTCCACGGCTGCGATCAGTGACGCACGTTTTTTTTTTTTTTTTCACTGCGGTCGATCGCTCGCGCGAATTTTCCACACCGTAACTAACCGAAACGTAAGAGCCGACCGAAACGCGAGGATCTTCTATTTGCTTATATACAAATGTGCACAATCGAATTTTGGAATCGGAAGCGTGGTTTTAACCGTGACGCAACACACAGTGGAGAACGTCCGTGACTAGTCAGACACACATGCAAGGTAACCGCAAGGTTAACGTCAACGATTCAAAAAGTACGCCAGTTTTAGCGATGACACATCGACGCGAGCGAGAAAAGCTCTTACCTCTTATCTCCACCCTGTGTACACGCTATTATTTTTGAATAAAAATCGAAGATTCTCGCGGCGCTTGGTTTGAGAGTGCTCGGGTGAGAAATCGGGGCAAAAAGAATAAATATTCCTAAGCGATGCAACAACAGGATGCTGCCAGACTCTTTAGCGGATGTTTCTTTGATTTTTCTTTTTTATCTCTCTGTGTGTCTGGGAAAATTTCTTGTCTCTCTCTCTGATATCCAATACCAAGATTCCCGCTTTGGTTTTGCGGAAATTATAAGTTGACCAAAGTTTCCGCTCGAAAAGGTCGCATCGAGAAGATCGATACGCATTGATTATCCGATAATTCTCTCACGATCGGCCGTAAATTTGTTTTCCTATTACGATTGCACGATCTGAATTTGAACGACAAAATCTGGCAACATGTGACATCAAAATGCCAGAAAGAAACAGGATGCACTCTGTACGAGGGTCGAATTGTGTACGTGAGAAGGCGGTTACACAAGTCATCAAGCCACAAGTCATCGGCATTAAAAAAAAAAAAAAAAAGAACACGCGAACGACAAGCAACGCGAGGAAAATGTCGAGCATCGGCGCTGAATGTAATACAAAATTAAAAAAAAAATCAAAACAAGAGAATTTAGGCTCTTGCGATCGGCTGCATGCATACGGCGAGATCGGAGTGCCCGGCAAACATATCTCGCTAGAGAGTGACTACCTTGTTTCAAAGACGTTTTTTTCTTTTTTCTTTTTTTTTAAAAAAAGAGGGGTGCGAAGAATCCTCGATTGCATAAACACACAAAAGCGCACCCCTCGCTCTTTTACTTTCTGTTTTTCTTCCGGTTCTTGCTGCTCGGAGATCGCCAGTGGCTACACAGTGTGTTTCGCGTGTTTCTCACGCCCGAGGTTAAAAACGGGCACGATGTTAGTTATTAATTCTCACCGACACACAACATTCAGAAGAAACAATACTTACGCAGAGGATGTCACCGCCGGCGTATCGCGGCCACCGGCAGCTAACCGGGACCCTCGTAGAGTTACGCATCTCCGGCCCCCATAAAGGCCTTGCGCGCGCGTTCTCCTTCGCGTGTTGCGCGCGCCTTCGTGCTGAATGCGTGTCTACTGTTCTGTTCTTTTTTTCTTTTTTTTTTTTTGCTTTTTGGTTTGCATTTTTGGCTCGAAACAACATGCACGCGCTATGCTAAGTGCACTGCCTGGTTATATTTATATATACGTATCGCAACGGACAACGACTCTCTCAACGGAGAAGGACGATATTCATATCGTATTGAGTAACATGTGGGAAGGAACGAGCAAGGATACTGATAAGAAAGAGAAACGGAAGAGTTGACACGAAAAAAGTGGAGAATAAAAGAGCGGGAGAAATTTAGCTACTCGCTTCTTTCAATTGTTTTCGAGTTTTGAGATGAAGAGAAAGGATATATACATATATATATATAATCTATACATATATATATATATATATATATACGTTCGGGGTTATTAATTATCTTAATTTGTAGAAAACATCACAATTTTTTTCATTAAAATGTTTTTCAAACAATAGTAATTTCTCTTCTATAGTGATATTGTACAAACAACACGAATCAATTTTTTTATTTTTTATTTTTATCGCCTTTATTGGGAAAACTTTTGTCTCGAATAGTTTTTTACTCACGCGTTGTTTTCCTTCTTGTCTCGAGTAATTAATACTTATAGAATCGTTGTGTCTTATTATTTAATGTTAATGAAAAATATTGACTGATCGGCACAGCGTAATGAACAAACGTTCCATCGGTCTTCGTCGAGTGTCTGAGGGACTTTTTTGGAATGAAGAATCAGGAAAAAATGACAAGAATTTGTACGGAAAGACACTCTTCAAAATGAAGGAAGAAGAATGCACAAAATATGTCCGATGTCGATCTCTCGTCGTTGGAAAAATCTCACTACGATGAGATCTACTCTCGCCATCCATAATCTTCATGCGCGTATTCATTCATTCAAGCACTACACGTCAAATGTTTTATCTTGCTATTTTATCTTGCTATTTTTAATTCAGAGATACTGCATTTGTTTTTTTTTTTCCACAATCTATGATTTGCGAAAACGAAATTTTTTCAGTGCTCTAACTATCAGACTATATGTGTGGCGACGTAGAATTCAATCGATAGTATCACACACACACACACACACTCATACACACACTTCACTAAAAACTTAATTAAAATCGAATTAAAGTCCAGAAATTGAAACTGATGCACTTCGACAAGTTCATCCGTTTCAATGCTACAAATACAAACATAAATTTCTTGTGCTTGCTTTCGATTCGATTTACGAATAAGCGCGTTAAATTGTTTTTTTTTTTTTTTTTTTTTTGCGAAATACGAAACCGGCAAAAATGACCGCCAGTCTTAATATTTCTGATTGTTATAATACTTTTTTTTTTCTCGCTAATATATACACTTATGAGAAGTAACGTGCTGCAAAGTGTGAACTACTCAAGCAAGCAAAAATAATTGCGCTCGATATGCGTTTTAATTCATAATTTAGCTTTTTGCTCCAACACAACTACGTTTTTTTTTTTTTTTTAAGTCGATGAGAAATCCACTGTGTGGGAAAAAGTTAATCAGATTGAGGGAAAGGGGATATTAAGCGCTTTTTGTTTGTTTTTTTTTATTTCACACAACGCTCGAAAAATTGTCGCTCGCGATGCAAGATGCACGACGTGCAAAAGGTTCTCAAATCTCAGGCAATTTCCGCACAAACGGCACGGCAAAAATAGCGCAACAGCCGAGACTCTGCAGCTACAGCTACAATTATACATATCGCCGCCGTGTATATATATATAATATCTACACACAGCTACATATTCAATGTACAGTGATGAGAGAGGAGGAGATAAAGCAACATCAGTCAAGGTAGAAGCAAAAAGATCATCACATGTTTTTCGGAACACCGATACAGATTTCACGTTCAAAGGGGATGCACATCGCTATGGCATCGCGTTTCTTTCTCATGCAACGGTAAAAAAAAAAAAAAAAAAACGTGTGATCGTATCTCGGTGTGATATAGTCGTAAAGAGGCCTAAAAAAACGAGATCGCATCCTGATGCGAATAACGCGGAATCAGCTTTCTCTAAGGATCAGGACCCGCGTCGCGAGTGCATTCCGCGCTTGTGTCGGCTTTTTCACGCTCGATGTAATTATTTTAGATTTTTTTTTTTTTTTTTTGATCCTGGATCGGAAATGATGCGGATGTGACAAAGGGAGGGCAAAAAAACGAGAGCGATGAGATGTGCGCCAAAAGGTTTCCGCGGAAACAAATGACCGTGATCCTTTTCGCGACCGAGATCGAAACCGACGGTTGAGTTCGCAATTTTCGTTGCTATTGGACGGAAAAAAAAAACAAAAAAAAAAAAAAAAGCAAATCTCCCCATCGTTCACAGCAACGAAAGCTGATAACATTCGAACGAGAACGGCTTCGATCCTTCGATCGTGACGGAAGGGAAGAAAACAGAAGATCGAGAGTTATGAGATACAGACACACGACGAGTACACGATGTTCCGTAAAAGTCACGAAAACAGAGGACATCGAGTGCTGCGAGGGAGTGAGAAGGTGAGGAGTTAGAGGGAAGAAGTGTTAAAGTAAAATTGGGAGAAAAACGGACTTGTATTACCAGAGAAGGCAGATTCAAAATCTGGCAAGAAAGAAATTCTAACAATTTTATTTAACAAAAATGGAAAAAATGTTCCACTTCTTTTTATTTATTTATTTTTTTTTTTTTAAATAAAATGTCTTTCGTGTGCAAAGAACTTTATAAGTTAAAGCAGCTTCGTATTTTCAACGAAAAGTAGCTGTTTGTGTCAAATCAAACAAAGAAAATCAGTATGCTGTGTGATCAACAAAGCAAGCAGCAATGGCGCAGAAATGTACAGGCTTAAAAATGATCGATCGTTTTTGTCGCGCGTCAAAAGTGTATGAAACAAACTTGAAAAATGATCGAACGCAGTCCTTTCCTTCGCGCTAAACACAATCGAGAGAATAGGGAAAGTACTGCCCGGTCCAGTAGTACAAGTCGATATTCTTTTATTGAACTGTCATCAAATAGAGAAAGCGGGAAGTATACAAATATTATAGAAACAGAAAGATCACGACGAAGGGAGGGAAATAAGAACAAACGGAATAGAGAAGAAGGAAAGACGGACGAAGCGGGGAAAAAAAAGGAAGATGAGAAGAGAGAGATAGAGAGAGAGAAAGATAAAGAGAGAGAGAGAGAGAGAGAGAGAGAAAGAGACGGTCAGTAGAATAAGAAGCGTGTAAAAGCGAAAGGGTTAATAGACAGCGAGCGAGCAAACGGACGAGTGACATAGAGAGCGAAAGACAGAATCGAGAGCGGAAAACGGAACCGAGAAGATAGAAAGAGAAAAAGAAAAAGAGAGAGAAAAGACAGAGTGTGAGAGAGAGAGAGAAAGAGAGAGAGAGAGAGAGGAGCGCTTACAGCTTGGTCTGTCGAACTCTTGCTGTAGGGTACCGGTATCAAACGTTCCTGCAACTCGCCACCTATCACCTTCAAGAGTAAAGGATAACATAATGGTTACAACAGGGTGGAACGATCGGATCGCGCGTAACCACTTCTTCAACCCTCAAGCGGCACACATTCGCTTTTTTGCCGGTCGTCGATGACTCGAAACGAAGTGAAACGATTTAAATTAAATCAATCAATTAAATTGATCAGGCGCAACGAACGTTACTTAAACGTATTTTTTTTTCTCGAAAAATATTTCTTTTATTCAAATATCTTGAGATTTTTCCTTCGGGATCACACGCGAAGAATCAATCTTCATGCCAATGCGTGCACCGACAATCTTTTGCTTTTTATTTGCATTTGTTATATAGACAATGTGAATTTTTCATATGGAATCTTCATATTTTCCACACCGAAAACCGATAGATAAATATAAATAAAATAAATAAATAAATACAAATCTCGTGATTATTATTGTGTTTGAGAAATTAATCTTAACTGGCATAATGGAATTTCATTTCGGATATAATATAATTTGAAAAAACATTTTTCCAAAAAAAAAAAAGTTAATCGTTATCGAATAACAAATATTTAGGCTGCGTTCGGGAAAACGCGCTATTTGCGCTAATTGCATCACTCCATCTTTATCGCTTATTACCATAAAACAAAGATGGAATGACGGAATAGAGCTGATAACGCTCTCCTCGAATGGAGTATCTTGATATGTCAGAAACAATAAATAGAGAGACATCTTGTGTAATTAATTAATATTCTCAAATTACATGAGAGAGAAAATGAGAAAAAACTCGTATATCTTGTTACATGGTAGCAAAAGAGCTGCAAGTTTTTAACAATCAAGATTAAATATTTCGTATATATCTCTGACATTTTGATTTTTCATCATTTATTCCGTTTGTCTTTAGATCCGTTATTATCTGTTTAGATCAATACTTTTTTTCCATCATGACCAATTAGGATTAAAGTTCTTTCACGCGAAACGCGAGCTTGAGGGTTAAGGGTGACATAATTCTTTGTCTCATTGAAATGCTGATAATGTTTAAGTAGTTAACGCAAAAAAAGTTAACAATATGACTGTATAAGAGTGGTTGGATTCTGAGATGGTAGTGTGTCGCATTTTTTCTTGCTGTGATATTCAGTTTTCTCGTTCGTGAAACGCGTCGTCAAATAAATTTTTCGTGAGTCGCAAGTTGTGAATGAAAAATTATTTGTGATGCAAGTTAGATTGTTTTAATATTTTTAGTTGTGTGTGTGTGTATATGTGTATGTGTGTTTATATATGTGCATATGTATATATACATATACGGTATACACACACATACACATATATATATATATATGTACATGTATGTATACATGCATGTGTCTGCGTACGCACACTTGCACAAAAACATACATATACAAAAATGATGTATCGATTGTGATCTGGTATTTTCCTTTTTTCTATAAAAGATAAAGAGCCGGGCGTATTGAATTAATTCGCCCGGAAACGCGACCGGAAACTGGATTCGAACAGCCGACTGCACCAATATATTATCACTCACAAGAATCCCTTGATAGTTCAATAATTCTTAAAAAAATAAATTATCGAGTATATTAACTTATATTAATACGTATATATATATAAAGACTTCGCAAAAATAATAAAACAGCAAGTTTATTTAGTTTTACATATTTGTAATAATTAATAGTTTATTTTTATTTCGCTATATAAAAAGTGGGCGACAATTGTTTTTTTTTTTTTTTTTTTTTTTTTTTTTTTTTGTTGTTTTTTAAACAATTATACTAAGAGACAAATGTCGCTGTCAGAACGTTATCACATTAATTTGATATCTCAACTACGTCTCTTCTCCCTACATTATATATATATATATATATAGAATTCAGCTAGAATTGTAAATCTGAATAGAGAAAGAGAAGATTGTCACATTTTCGAAAATTCGTATATTCTTCCGAGACTCGGTGCAATTCGGCCTCGGTTATAGAGGTAATACCTGATAAGGGGCAAAGAGTTATGTACGAGAGCGAGAGTGCCGTAGAAAAAGTGAATCTCAATTATACAGACAGACAAGCGCAAAGAGATGTACAGAAAGTCGGTATAAGTCAGTGAATATATATAGAATGGAATTTGTGAAAGAGAGAGAATCGTGCACAAAGTTAGTTTGTTTCGTGATCGACTGTGACGTACAATAAGAAGATGAGATCGATAGATCGTTCGTTGAAGACCGTCTGTCGAAATGCAATACAATATCGAAAATATTGTTTTTTCACAATTCGATTCCTATGTGTTGCTAATGCAAGTATACGTCATAAGTATACACATGAGTATACGAGGCGCATCAGGCACCGCTGATGCATCCTGATTGTACGACAACTGTATACGTGTCGACCCCGTCCGCCTAACGGAGACGGACCCCCCTCCCTCGTTTGTTTCAAACTTGTTTGTTTGTAGACAAAATCGGCAGTGAACGTAGTGTTAAAAAAAAAACAATTTCAAGATCAATCACCAACACCTTTACAACAACAATGTATCTAACTATATCTAGGTCAAGATCATCGACGAGAGATGTTTCCTAAAACAGTTAGCTACCCACAACTATTCATAATGATAACAATATATATATATATATGTATATTTTCGTCATTACCTGTCATTGTGCATTAGTAGATATGTCAATAAGAGACATCTCAGAGGCATCGAAAAGAGTATGTGCGTGTAATAGTAGTAGTAGTAGTAATAGTAGTAGTAGTAGTAGTAGTAATAGTCGTAGTGTGTGCTATAAAGTGATTCCGAGATATATGTCACGATCTGCATCGATCGCGATGTGATTTCTCGGATTATTAGCGTGCGTTTTAGTTGACCTGAACGTTTACGAACGGTCAAAGTGGAGAAAAAGCATGCGTCATTCAGGAGGGGAGAAAGGACGAGAAAATTCGAGGATTCGAACGATCGCGGGAGGATCGAGCGCAGTAGCGAGGTGCGGGAAAGAGAAAACTTTGAGTCGATTATTGTGCAGAGCTCTTTTTTTTTTGTTTTATATATTTTTGATTTTGATCAAAAAACTGTGTGTGTTCACGAATGGTTTCTCCGATCCCATATCTCACCACGGCACGTTCCTGTTCTCTTTCCCTTCTCTTCCGCTTTTTGCCGATCGCGCATAAATATATCTCTCTTTTTGTTTTGTATAGTACAATGATGATATTGTATATGTGTATGTATATTAATTAAATCAAACGTAACTCGCAACTATACACACAGATTATATGTATATAATATTATATATTATATATATATATATATATATTATATTCTTTCCGCGGTAACACATGATAGGTACGTTGATAATATATAAAAAAAAAAAAAAAAAAAGAACCAAGATGTGTCTTCTCTTGTTTGCTACAAATCGCGATGAATTCTGTCTGTGTGATCGCGACTTGTAGAGGAAGACGTATCAAAGAGACAGAGAAAAAGAAAGAATGAGTGAGAGAGAAGAGGAAAATTAAAAACGACCGAGATAACGAGATCGGATAATTAAGTACATTTCTCTAAACGAAGATTATTTTTGTTCTTTTTTTTTTTTCCGCGGAAGAATATGTATAAAGAGAAACATTAGCGGGGATTAGAAAACCGGCATAACTTTGACAAGTCGAATTTTTTTTGTTATATATATATATATTTTCAGAAAAATATATCTCATTGAGATAAAAAAATAAAGCGACCCACGTGCATGGGGATTTAAACCCGTCGAAATTACGTCGATTTTGATCTCCGTAGAAATTTATGCCTTAAATTATTACGAGATTTATATATAAATATTACAGACGTAATGTTAAACTTATATATTACAATATCGAGAGGATACAAGATGTTAAGAAAGTTTTAAATATGACAAGAACAGCGATAAGAACACACCGATAGTGAAAAATATATAAAAATATGTAGTCGCGCGATCTATATAAAATAACATTTTATATTCTCGTCAATCAATAAAAAACGTATATTTTTCGTTTTCCCTTTTTTCTATTTTTATCTGCTTTTTCTTCTTCCGAGCAATCGAGAGAGAAAGATTAAGAAACAGAGAGAAAGACAGAAAGAGAAAGAGAGAGAAAGAGAGAAAAAGAGAAAGAGAGAAGGAGAGGAGAGAGAGAGAGAAAAAGACGAGATCGTAAGATTGAGCAAGATCTCACGGAGCGTATATGAACGAGATCACAGGGAGAGTAAGAAGATTATGTACAAGTCCCTCCGCAAAAATAGAGGGAAAAAGAAGAACGAAAGAAAAAAAGAAAGGAGCCAGGATGTCGAGTCGAAGGACAGACAGATAGGATTTTCAAAGCGTGAAAACAGCGTGATGAGGCAAGGAGAAGAACTTGACTAATGTGAAGCTTCGAGTAAATCGACGACGATGAAGAGAGTTTGACGGCAAAAACATGTGAAAAGGAGTCGAAAGAGGATGGAATGAGACAAAAAAAAAACACACAAAAAAAACAAAACTCAAAGAGTCTCTTAAATACTTGTTTCATGTACAAGGTTGGTAAGCTCGGGTAGGACGATGTTGTTGGATTTGAGACGTGAGATGAACCTCTTGTTACTATCGTTACTGCTCGCCTGTGCCGTGCAGTTGGGGCTCACGGGCTCGTTAAGTTCGCTATTATGGGAAGGGGATTTAGTGTCGTTGTCGGTAACAGTGATGTTGCAATGACGATTGTACGCGTTCGCCGGCTGTCCGGTCGCACTCAGCACACGGCGTGGCGGTGCGGGGCTGTTGAGGGATTGCTGAGGCATCCTGGAGGCACCCTTGGAGTTTGTCTCATAATCCTGACCCGTCATCGGCTTGACGCTCCTATTAGAGGACTTGTAGGCGGGATTCTGCGCGGTGGTAGTAGTAGTAGTGGTGATGGTGGTGGTGGTGGTGGTATTTGTCGGCTCTTCAACGTCAATGTATGTGAAGTCAGAGAGTGGTCGGTACCCGGGGTAGCTGCGTGAACTGCGCATACTGTGTAAGCTGTGTAAACTATGGACAGAG